ACTACTCCATATCATAATAGTGTCCAGAGTGAGCCTTAAAGGAAACAGTGCAGCTGCGATACTCTTCGGCTGCATGCTCCATTATCACCAGCTATTCAAGAGAGGAGTATCTCTCTTCAAGCCACTACGATAACATTTTGAAAATCTACAGTCCCAAGGCTTTATAGTTTATTCACAGGGTACCCACACAAGCAGCGTGTCTGGTCGTTTGTTCGAAATATAAAGAAATGTATGGGAGAATATTGAAGAGTATATCATAAACTTATATCAAGGAAAGTCTATTGTTAAGGCTCAAAATAAATGTAAACCTACCTCACTTGCTGTGTATTATCATTTCTGTGGTTCTAAATGGCCAATTTGAGCGATTTGGTAGATTTTGTGTTGACTGTTACTTTGCTGTATGAGAAGGAGACAAGGGTGGAAAGCTCATTTTCGACAGCTCAAGCGCAAAGCCGATTTTCACCCAGAAATTAGAATCGTCTGGCTTCCAAATCAAACACCAGATAAACTAGAAGGTTGACGCTTCCTCTCGTGTCATTCATTCAAAGATCCATTCAAAATCCAAGCGCTAACCGCCGAAAAACTTTTGAGAAATGCAGCTTTCCAAGCAATTGGCATCCACCGCGCAGATTTGGTGTGCCAGGGAGCAACCGTCACACTGTTTGCTCCACGTTGATTGGCTGATGGTAAAAAATGCCCTGTTTCAAATGCCTTATGTGAGAGGGGAGTCTGGGCATATTCACGCCGGTGATTCATCTACTGATGCGCCATAAACCCCACACCAGGCTAGTCAGTAGATGAATCGCTGGCACGAATATGCCCCTGACTCCCCTCTCACATGAGGCATTTGAAACAGGGCATTGTTTACCATCATCCAATCAGCATGGAGCAAACAGCGCGACGGTTGCTCCCTGGCACACAAACTCTGTGGATGCCGATCGCTTGGAAAGCTGCATTTCTCGAAAGTTTTTTTGGCGGTTAGCGCTTGGATTTTGAATGGATCTTCGACTGAATGACACAAGGAGAAGTGTCAACCTTTTAGTTTATCTGGCGTTCGATTTGGAAGCCGGGCGATTCTAATTTCTGGGTGAAAATCAGCTTTGCGCTAGAGCAGTCGAAAATGAGCTTTCCACCCTTGTCTCCTTCTTATGCAGTCCTTCGTAAACAGTAAAGTAACAGTCATCGCAAAATCTACCAAATCGCTCAAACTGGCCATTTACAACCACAGAAACGATAATACACAGCAAGTGAGGTAGTTTTACATTTATTTTGAGCCTTAACATAGACATTCCTTTATATAAGTTTACGATATTATGACTCTTCAATATTCTCCCATACATTTCTTTATATTTCGAACAAACGACCAGACACGCTGCTTGTGTGGTTCCCCTGTGGTTTATTAACAACGTTTCATGTTGAAGGAGGTATGGTTAAAAATCACCATGCCTGTAGCAAAACGAGTCTCGAGCCGTAAAACCGAAACTCCTGACAACTTAAAGGATCAGGAGAGTACGGAAAGCACAGTGATGCTAATCTAGAGATAGATAAGAGACCGAATGAATGAATGTGGACAAAATATCGTCTGCTAAACTCTCGTCCGTAGCACAAAGTGAAAATATAAACACAGTTTACCTTTTTCACAACCACGTCCATCGTGGTGAGATTCCAAATTCAGTTCAATCTATGCGATAGTTCCCAACTTCATGATGTGTTCCACCGTACAGTAATGTTAGAGTCATTTAGTAACACTCCTGCTGATGTCGCGCGATTGGGATTCCCGCGCCATATTTACTCAACCGTGTTACGTCATGTGACCACTTCCGTGACAGTTCAAGAAACTATGTAGTGGTCATAATGTATCCTTAGCTTATGACCCGTTTATGAACCTTGAGCGCAGGTTTTTTTTTTGTTCGTGTGTTTTGGAGCATATTAATTTTTGGATCTCATGGCAGTTGGCAGCTGAGTTTGAGCTCGGAAGCTCGCTTACCCTTCAGAGGATAGTTCCCCCACACGCTGTTTTTAGAATTTAACACCGACTTCTCGAAGATAAGCAAAATTTTTAATTACTTTTATTTCCTGAGCTATGCTACGGTAATTAAGATAGGTGTTTTAATATTACAGCTAAAAATTTTGATTTAAGTTTGCTCTTTTTAATGGCCTAGAATCTATTGTGCCCGTTTTCTTAGTTTTGAAATTCTTTCCGTCGTAGAAACAGCCGGAATATTCAAGTAGGAATCGCTCAAATTCAGAGACATTTTCTTTCATTTTTTTTTCCTCTTGTGATACTAGTCAAATAATGTAAATATAGAGAACAATAGAACCACGCGCTCGATAGTTACATTCCACGATTATGAAGTTGTATTCTAGAGGTCATGTCAGTTGTCTGCATGAACTGAAATGATAGTACTAGGGAACCAAACGCTGTCTTGTCCTTGACGTCCGTACAACTTCTCTCGAAGCAGATCTCCGTGTACCAGGAAATCGTGACGAGTTTTCGTTCCCGCTGCCGAGTTGTTTCCACTGAGCTATTTCCCCCCGTTGTTGTTGCGTTCCCCGCAAAAGTCCAGTTTTGGCAAAAAACGCATCGTCACACGATGTCTAGTAATGGTATATATCTCAGCCAACACATAATGATGTGTAGAGATAGCCAGTGAAGTCTAATAGCAGAGAATGACAATAGAGAATGATTTGTAATGACCAGGAATAATGCATAGTTGAACAATGTCAAGTGGTGGTAAATGGTGGCGGTGAACGGTGATAGTAAATGATGTCTAATGACTGCTAAGGTCGAGTGGCGGTGAAGGACGCTTAGTGACAGAATTTCAAGGTTTTCCTCTAATCGCGGAAACGACTAAAAGCAACACGAAGAAACTCTGTTAACCCTTTAACCTCCAAGTTGAAGATCAAATGGTCATGTAGCGGCAATTTCTGTCAAACATTTCTTTCAATTTTAGGTCTGGGAACTAGGTGTCAACTGAAACAAATCCTCTGTATCTCATTTTTCTTTCTTCTTGTTACCTTTCTCTTTGAAAACGTATCGATGTTGTATGGAAAAACACCCTTTTGGTCACTCCCGTGGGCGAAGATTTAAAACAAGGCTCAACAGAAGGCTTGAACCAGCCAATAAAACTGCTCAAAAGTCTCTTTAATGATATCTGGTATTTCACATCTCGAATAGCTTTTTACAAGTATTAAACACGACCAAAATATTATTACAGAGACAGTGTACAAGAGAAATCATTTCCACACAGACATTTCTAGCTCCAAAGTCAAATACGCACGGCCAGGCAAAATATGTTACTGTGCTGTCACAGATTGCAGCGTAGGTTTGTCGTCTAGCTTGTCGTATTCCAAATGGAATTCCTTCGCAACCTTCCTCCACGTACTGCAGTCAAAGAAGTAGTATGTGCCACGCTCGTACGAACTCGTTTTCAGTTGAGGGTCAACACCAGGAGCACGTGTCAACCATAGTCTTTCGTCTTTGTGGTATCGCCAATCACGTGCATACCTAAGGAGAAAAACCAATATGGACTAAGATTACGCAAATAAATAGAGAGGGTAAGTTTCTGAAGAAACTGTGGTGCTGCGTCGGTGGGAGTAATAAGGTAATTTGGTTATATAAACTAAGTTGAGATTGTAAATTGGCCAGTTTAAATAGTTAAAAAGCTGACGTTTCGAGCGTTAGCCCTTCGTCAGAGCGAATGACGAAGGGCTAACGCTCGAAACGTCAGCTTTTTAACTCTTTACGGTGGCAAATTTACAATTTCAACTTAGTTTATATAACCAAATTAAGATTACGCGTTGCGCATGTGGGCAGTTTTCGTACGACGTCATTTGCGATCTTTCATGAGTCAAACATTCATTTGAATGTATCCAGCAGTACACTTTTAAGCTGAGTGCCTGAAAACCAAAGATCTAATTGATAATTCTTCCCTCTTGCTGCTACACGTTTCCTTGTAAGTAACAAGAACTTGGTGTTAGATCAAGATAACAACTCCCAACTGATAGGTTTGAGTATTCTCATTACCTGTTTTGTTGGATAATGTATAGGATACTAAAGGGAGAAATTACATGTTGATCACTTCTGGGAGTTAAAGGGGTTAAACGGAAAATAGAGAACTCAACCAATCAAAACTCAAATTTATTCCAAGCAACCAGCAAGAAACGCCGCAAAACGCAAATTAACAATCTGCGATTTGATGAGGCCGAGTGAATCAGTGATGAACAAGGTAAAGTTTGAATTACATGAGTTGCCAACTGTATCGTTTCATTGAGATCCAAGTCTTTTCTGTTCGCAATGAAGGATTGCATTGGGGGAACCTAACACTCTGCAGACTGGATTTGTACTTACAGTTCAGCTGCGGCCGCCAGTTGGAGAATATCTCCTCCATTCGTGTAATAGAGATAGAAGAGTAAATCCTCGGTGTATCGACTAAGTTTGATAGGTGCAAGCTGCAAATACACACAAAAGAGCTCAAACAGACGGAAAACTGAGCGCAAAAAGGGGGGAAAAGGAAAGGAATAAGAAACAAATTCGAGAGAGTGATCAAAGTCTGTGAATATTTGAAAATCATATATTTGAACTGCGGTTAAAGAAATGACTCTGGGAGCGATCTTCGCAATAATGAACACTAATTAAGCAGTAGTGAAAATAAGGCCAGAAAAAACTTCAAGCCTGTACGGGATTCGCACCCATGACCTATGCATCGGTATCGCATGCTTTGTTGGCTAAACAAATCTGCTTTGAGAGCAGTTACTCAACTACTACATCAACACGTCATAGTTTAATACCTTGTCCCGGATAAATGAGTTTATCCGGTACTCCGAGGGCACGTGATAGTCTGTGGAGCAAAGCAAACAATTACAGTTTGCACCAAAACTGATCTTACTGATCATAGATGTTACACTTGACAGTTCAACAAGCGATAGCTGTTGGAAACCGGAAACCGAACGAAAGGGTCTGTCACAAAATGTTCACTTGTTCGTTTGACCCAATGGACACTTTTGTTCGTTAAACAGTGACATATATCAAAACAAATCAGTAAAGTTTGTCAGCAGCTTGTACTCTTGCATCGAGATGGATTCAAAAAAGATTTCAAAATCATAAGATTTCCTGAGGCCTCTTTTAAAAGCATAAATTCTTCTGAAGCCATACCTATTTCATGTGGTCTACATGGACTGTCCGCAAATGGTGAACCAAACGTATGGTAAAGACTCCTAAATTGCAACAACAATAAGTAGTAGTAAATAGATATGAATTAACAAAAGGAAACTACCCTTGAAATTGTCATTCCTTAACGCCTAACTCTCCCCCTTAAAAAAAAAATTGGTCTAAATGTGGTCTATAAGGACTATCCACAAATGATGAACCATACGTATGATAAGGACTCCTAATTTGCATGACAATAAGTAGCAGGTAAATACATATAAATTAATAAAAGAAAGCTACCCTTAAAAATTGTCATTCTTTGAACCCCCTCCGAAAAAAAAGGGAAAAAACAGTAATAAGAAAGTACAATTTGAGCGAATTGTTTGCCGGTATTATCTCGTGAATTGGATTGACTAATATCGTGAAACTTACGGTACAAACTTTTCTTCAAAGTTGCCGCATCCCACTTCGGTAGAAAGTTGCATACTTCAACTTCGGCCTTTAACTTATAATAACTTTTCACAAATCTCCTATCTCGCCACAGTTCATTTCTTCGTGAGAAGGTAGCGAGAATTTTAAATGTCACACAAACAGTGCTCTTAAGCTGATAAATTTAGAGATAATGTACAGATATTATGCGAAAAAGTTATGTGCTTAGATCAATTCTAGGAGATCTAGAGTTAATAATAATAATGATAATGATAATAATAATAATAATAATAATAATAATAATAATAATAATAGTTAAACAAGCAATAAACCAGTCAACATTTAATCAAATAATGCAACAAAATATGCTTCTACTTACTCTGGTGAATTTAAGTTCAGTCCTAACGTCGTAAGGTCACTAATGAATAAGAAAACCATATTTCAGAATCACAACTGTCGAGTAACCTCTGCGGAAATAACGGCAACGAAGTAAAAAAATCTGGGTAGTAGAGAACGCATGACTCTGTTACATTTACCTCCCGAGCGCTAACGTCACAAGATTGGGTTCCGTTTCTGCGGCTCTGATGAATGTTAACAATCCTATCATTCCAAACTGATCTGTTACCATTCCCTTTGGAATGTTTGAGATCATACCTGAAGTACAAAGGTAGAGAAGTGAGAATAGTATGTACATGTTGTGCGTTTTTTGATTGAGAGTCCAAAACCCACACTAAAGTAATCATAACAGACAATCAGCACCAAGGCGGATTCCTTCAGAAATCTAAACTGGACTATTATGTTTGAGGAGCAGGGTGAAACTTTGCCAAAATGCGGAAACAGGTAAATGAAACAGCCATTTGATAAGAACCTGAAGGTGATGTCTGAATTCCCCTTGGTGGTTGCTTGTGATTTGTCGAGTTCGCCTTTGCCTCTGCTGTCGCGAATCTTCGTTAAAAGAGAAAACAAAACTTTACATTAGCCTTTCCAAAATATCTTTCAGTGTCTAACATTTCGTTTCAGGAATAAATTTTCAGCGGCATAACATATATCGTAGTCTCCGCTAACTACGACTATCTTTTACTGGATATTTTTCCTCTTTCACGGAAAGTAGTGCTATACTGATATCTGGAAGCCATTGTGAGGACCAACATTTTGAAATTTCCTCCATGCCTGAATGGGGTTCGTGAGTAACCTGGCCCACAGATAAGGCGGCCTTCCAAAGCTGACTATACTTTTGCGAAATCTTTAACTAAAAAACAGGCAAGTATGTCTCGAGATCAAGGGGTCTGCTTTACTTTCGAGCCAAGGGAAAGTGAGGCAAATCAAGGCTTTCAGGCGCCCCATACGTAAGTGTTTGGGAAAAAGAGGGGAAAAGGGGTTGCGAGCGAGACCACGACTCAAGAAGTTCGGCTTTTAGCCCTGACTAGGCGAGATCTTGTACTTAGACAAGACTGTTGCTCCACCGAGCAGTAGAAATGGGTATTAATGAATAGCAAGGGAAACCTGAAGAGATGCTGAGGGGTATCATGAATAAACTCATCACCCTCGTCACATCCTAGAGGAGTAACAATACTCCTTGTCAGTTCATTCTATGGACATCGGGATCGGCTACATTGGAGTGGGCCAATTGACTCGTGTGTGAGAGTTAGCTTCCTCAGAAGAAGGTCATTACCTTGCGTCCTTTGCAACATCTTTCAATGCTTGTTCGTACGACGATCCGCCTCTAAGATCTTGGAAACGTAATCAGGAAATTAGCGAGGACAAATCAAGTTACTTTTATTTAGAAATTAGAAAAGAAAAAGGTACATGTACTATTCGGGAGAGTCTATTTAGGGAGTTCCCACAGCATACCTACAATGAATAGGAGCCCTGGACATCGGGAACCTTGTAGATAAAGACCTAACAGGAAATAAGGTAACAGTCACTACGAAAAACGTTACCTGTTCCAGGGAAAATGCTCGAGCTGGTGTTAATAACCTGGAAAAGAAATATGAACAATCCATGAACACATGAACATAGCATTACGGGGTGTACCATTTAACTACGAGTCTACCGTGTACTTACTGATGGCTTGGAAGGATCCTGGGGAGCACAACTGTCCGCTTGGCTTTCTGTAAGTACAAACAGAAATTGAATCTTTTTTAAATGGAATTGTTGTGATAACGTTGGAATATTAAAGGGTTTTTTTTTTTCCTTGAAAATCGATCTTGCTTTTCAGTTAGAAAGGCGCCTCTTATTTCTCTCCTTTCTGGGATCTTGTGTCTGAGTAATAAATATTGCTACCCACAAGAAAACTGCTTTCTTTAGAGGTTGGATCTTCGAGGCACAAACTGACCTGTTTTTCATGCATTACTCACTTCAGTCAAACTACAAAATGATGGGAGATTAAGAGCAGTTTTCGATTTGGCGCGCAAAGTAATCCGGACTCGCATGGGTTTTGCTTCAATGCGCTCTATAGCTAGCTTTTAAAATCTCACTCCGATTTCTCCACCAACCAAAGGCAAAACTCAAAGAAATCGCGCCTTGTCACATGTATAGCTCTCGCTCTTTAGCTTTTCAGGCAGCTTTGCTTGTATTCAAATTGAGTTTTCAGTGACTGCCTGAGATAGTTTCCTTCTTTTCATACGCTATAAAAAAAAAAAAAAAATTTACTCACTTACAACACTCAATCAAAATACGCGCTCAGATAGAAATTACCTGACTTAAACGTATTTGAACCAGGGAGAGCAGGGAAGTCCTCGTTATGAATTGAAAAATCCGGTGGGGGTTCTGCAGGTTTAGACACTACACCGTAACTTGGCCTGTTGGTTAAGCTGCTGGGAGGTGCACTAACACCCCCTATACTGTCCAAACGTGCCACACCCTCCACACGGCTGAGACTCTCTAGTCGACTTCTGTTCGCTAGTGCCGGGAACTCTGACAGGTCTAACCCACCCGAACCACCAGGTGTCGCGTCAGCGAGTCCTGCAGATGATGCAACAAACACACGTGAGACAACTAGCCAAATCATAGCTTCATATGGGTATTGCTACTCTCTTATACAAGTAACCATTTGTTTCAGAGCAAAAGTCTTGTGTAGGGAACACAATGTGACAGCAAAGTATCCAGTCCAAAATGGCGAAACAATTACCAATGACCCCAGATAAAGCTCCGACCCTGAACGTTTGATCCACAGTCCAGCGTTTTTGACCAGATAAACAGCAGTCACCATTTGGGTCTCGCGACCAAAAGAAAAAAAAAAAAACGGTACAAAGTTGTTTTACAAGATTTACCTTGACCTGCTCCTGAGAATATGTGCCGAAGAGATTTTGGTGAATCAGGTGCACCTAAGATACAATAGAAAGGGAGGAAGTGATTTCAGTCTCCCTCCAATCCATATTGGAAGAATACAGGTACCAGAACTGACATCGAGGTCAAGTATTGTTAATAGAAAATGACATCCTCCTTTTTCTAATCTTCCCTAAATGTTCCACTACGATACAGTAATTGGAAATGACAACGAAAACCGGTCAAAATTCTCATAAAAGAGGGGCTGCTCTCCCTTTAAATCCTTGCGAACATATCCATCAGGGGCAGGTGTAATCCATTAGTTCTCCCTGAAAATAATCTTGTAGGATCCTGTAGTGCACCATCTCCATGACAAACAGGGTACGCGTGATTTTGAGGACATGAGAGACTTACCAGGAGGTTGAAATGCCCCTGAAAAAAGTGGAAGTCCAGAACCACCCATACCCTACAGGAAAAAGAGAGGGAAAGAAAAGATTACACAGAGATTACACGTGTACAGCTTGAATAACTTACCTGGATAATCATTAGAAGCCGTTTACAACTGAGCCCATGGCATTATTTAATTGAGAAACACAATACTCCTTCTAAAATGCTTTAAAATATTCCGTGCAAATCTACACGTACTACAAAATTGGCAAGTCTGCTGTCTAAGGATTTTTTGGCAAGGAATAGGCAATTGTTCCTTTACGAATGATTGGCTAAGGTGAGTGCATTTTTCATGCAACACAAATGCAAAGTTGTAGTACCAGTGCAAACTACAAATAGGACACACCCTGTTAAAACTTTGTCTGTCTTGACCTTCTACGATGTTTTTTTTTCATGTAAATCATTATCACATAAAAAAATGATTTCTCTTGCAATTTGGTGTAAATAAGCACTTGTGAATTTTTCAGAGGATACAAATTGCACGTGCCTACTGACTCATGCAATGTTGTCTTTCAAAAGACAACATAATATTGACTTGGGACCAGAGGAATTTAAAAAATCCGTAGAGTTGACATGAAAAGTCCAGGAGGCCAAAATTCACATAGCTGGTTCAGTTCCTGGGGCATGAAGTGAATAGGAGTACACGTTCTGGAAAACTGCTCTCTTCTATGGTGGAATGTTGGACCAGCACAGAAAATAACCCAGCATTTAAGAAAATTTCTCAAACAGCTTACTGCCACAAATTTTTCTCTTGACAAGAGTAAAGCTTTCTTTTTATTGATACATCCTCAATAAATGCGCTCATTTACATACAGTACCTGTGTCACTCCACTAGTTGATTGGCTTCTTGTGAGACCAAAACTTGACATGGGACCAGACACAGAGCTGT